AAAAAAAAAAAAAAAAAAAAAAAAAAAAAAAAAAAAAAAAAAAAAAAAAAAAAAAAAAAAAAAAAAAAAAAAAAAGGTTTAACACTTTTTGACACTTGATTGTGTTTGCACTTGAAAAGTTACTTATTTAGCAAAATTTGTTCTAGAGTTAATTTCTTTTCAGTATTTCAAGACCTAAGGATGCTACAAGCTATAAGGCATGAATCTCAAATGTGTCTTTACAGCATCACATCAGTGAAAAATAAGTAACCTGCAGAGTTCTTTGGGCAAAACAATTTAGAACAACAGTCTGGAAAGATGTGAGTGGAAAAAGTATCCGGTAAGTATCCGGTGTAAGTTTTGACTACTTCTTTGAATGCCTGACATTTTGAGGGAACAAAAATGGTGTTTATTTCCCAGGTCGTTCTCACAGCTTCTGTTTGAGGAGCATGTGTACTAATTCAATTTGAAGATCTTCCAGATACTGTGAGTGGGTGGACAGAAAGCTAAGCTAGCAAGTGAATTGTCACTCGTTTTATGACAACTGCCACAGTAAATACAACACTGCAGATGGACCAGTTATTTCTAAATACAGCTGCACTTACAGTGGAAGTCAGCAACACCATTACACAAGCAAATGGTCACACTAACAGCACAGCATACTGCGAATCAAGCTTTCCTCACCTTATAAACAATACGAAAGTGATTTAAGAAAATAAGTAGAGGCACCATCCTTTAGCACTGTAAACTGAGGAAAGCTTTTGGAGAGAGAGAACAGATTTTTTAAAAGTGCAATAAAGGGGATTTGCATCATATACACAGTCTTTTCCAATACATGCATAATGCCAACATGAAGAATGCTTTTGATTCTGTTTTTTTTAAAAGACAACACAAAGCAACACACATTAGTATTTTTTAGCTTTTCCAAACAAAAAAAATCTGAGTTGGTTTTACACTTTAACATCAAATAGAGTAAAAATGAATTGCAAGTTTTAACATCATCATTCTATGCCAAGTTCACACTATCTGATCAATACTATAAGTACAACAGGACCATTAAGCAGCACAACAGCAATATCTTCATGGGAGTATGTTTTAGCCCAGTTTTATTCTTATCCCTTTGCTAACTTGCCTTTCCCCGTTTTTGCAGAGACACACAACAACTCTTTTTTAAAGCATTAAATAAATTCCTCAGTGCTGAAATGCTCCAGTTTGTTCTTTTTTCCTAGAACTTATTGTTTCTGAGGCTGACTGTAAGAGACACTTTTCAGTTACCTATACTTTTGCCAGAATGATACACCTGCTTTCAAGTTGTTAAAGCCCATGCCAG